GAGGAAATGGCAGGGTAAACTGAAGGTCTTCACCTTGATATTTGCAGGCAACACGGAAGGAGCCGATTTGATTTCTGGGACTATGTCTCCTGGAGTGCCTAACTGTGGCTGTCACGTAGGTGCTTGGTAAATATGTAAAGAGAAACTGAAAATTAAGAGATGACTGAAGAGGCAAGAACCTGGAGGCAACGAGAGGGTGGGGACAAGAGCTCAAGTAGAGTGGCAGTCCTAGGAAAGGGAAGGGCCACCTGTACTTCACAGAATGGAGCACAGCAGAAAGTGGACAACACTGAAGGGATCTGTGGTCCAGTCATGGAGATGGGGCTCTATTTTCAGAAGGGTATGAAGCAAGATCCTCTGCTAAGATGTGACACTGCTTCCTAAGACCAAGAATCTTCATTTTATACTCGCAAGCCTATGTAAGACAATCACTTCCTTGAAGTATGAGGTTACGGTGATGTAATGGCAAACATTCATTAAGTGTTTTGAATAAACAGGACTTGAAACTGTCTTCCAGCCTAATGATCCATCTACTAAACATACCTTGCACAGAAAATGTGAAACCATGTAACACAAATGTGAACAAGCAATACAAATGAGGTACTATCTGGTTTATTTTAGCCCAAAGATCTTCACATGAACAACTTAAGTTCACCTTGAAGTACTTCCTACTCTACTTCTGTTACTTCCTGGTGAACAAAAAGCTGGAGTGGAAAAGACTACTACTACGTGGCCCGGTTGACTGCATCGTGTCACAGCCATCAGTATTGGATATGATTAAGTGTGGGTGTGAATCCTGATATTGCCACTTTTACTACCTGTGGCCTTCCTTCACAACCTCTGGGCCTGTTTCCTTGACCATAAAATGAGGTGATGATTTATAGTGACAAGTAGTAATCCTTGAAACTATCTGGTAGGGTTTAAAAAGAAGTTGATGAGTTGAACAGATTACGTCCAGAGACACAGAAACAACTCAACATAGTAGCAATGTTCAATAAACCAAAGCACTCCAACTATCTATCTAGTTAAGAATTCAGGTGACAAAAATAAACTGGAAAGCAGTTCGGCAGAAATCAAGTTTTTTAGATCAGTATCTCCAACCACATACTGTAAGTTCCAAATAACAATACATGACCTAGATGTAAGAGGTAATGTCAAACAAATTAGAGTGGCAGGGATGGAGGTACCTTTAACAACTATGGATTAGAAGGGAGATGGTTAACTGAAAAAATAAAAATCTTTCCAGTAAATTTCTGATAAAGGATTGATATTTGAGATGCATAGGGAACTGATACAAATATAACATGATCTATTCCCTAATAATTAAAAGATATGAAGCCAGTTATCAAAAGGCAAAGTATTAACAACTATATGAAAAATGCTCCAAACACTGAGATAAATGTCAATTAAATCCACTGAGTTTCCACCTCATATTAATCAGATTAGTAAAAATGATCCCTTCCCCTAAAAGAGAAGGAAAAAAGAGCTGTAAGACAGAAATACTAATATATTGTTGGTGTAACTGTGAATGAATCAAGCCATTCTGGAAAGCAGTTTGGAACTTTACCCAAAAAGCCACAAAAATGTGTATTATCACAATATGGCTACCAGACATCTACCCCAAACCCCAAAGAGATGAAAGAGGGAAAGGTCCCATATGCACAAATATATTTCTGGTGGCACTTTAATGTGGTAAAGAACTGAAAACAAAGTTGGATGACCATCAAGTGGGGGAGGGGATAGTTGAGCAAATATGATTTATAAATATAAAAGAGTATCATTTCACCTTTACAGATAATTAAAGGGGGTAGATTCAAAGAAACCTGGGAGGACTTGCATTAACTGAGAAGACTGTGGTTTTAAAACGAAGATCAATGCAATGACCAATTACAACTCCATTAGACCAGCGACAAATCATGTTTCTCATTTCTTGTAAAGTAAGTAGACTAAACATATGTAGGGTAAGACATACATTTGCATACATAACCAATGTGTAAATTTATTTTGCTTGACTACACTGTTGTAAGTTTTTTGTTTTTTGGGTTTTTTTGCACGGTAGGGAAATAGTCACGCAGTCATAGAAATACAAAAAGGGGAAGTGGTGCAAAAAATGTTTTTAAAAATCCACAGAAGTCCAAAAGAGGATACAACGAAACAGAACAGCATTAAAGCCACCTTTTTTTTAACATCTACTTTAAAAAATAGGCCATATGTAATATTTATGGTGTTATTTTCAATCCTTTTAGTTCTCTGTATTTTTTAAATGACCATTTGCTAAGTGCATAATGAAAGATAAAATTTTAATAAAATTGTTGTAAGGTAAAGAAAAAAGGAGGGGATATAATCAGATCAATCAAGAGATTTAGAACTATTAGAGATCTTAGAGATCTACCCGGCTCCTTCCAGCTCGCTCCAAATTCTATGAATCAGACTAAATTTTTCATTTGCTATTCTGAGCTAGCCCCTTGTAAGAAAGATTACCACTCTCTACCTTGCCACTCTTGCTATCTAACAAGGTGTGAACTTATTCTCAACTCCCTCTTAGCTTGTATTTACTCCATGAACAGAGAAGGTGGTAGCAGCCTGCTTAGCCTAGTTGTAAACTACTATGAAAGCCAAAGAACGAGCATGGGAACTTACAGAAGAAACAAAACATGAAAAGTGTGGAACCACCCTCTTAAAATGCCTTGAGGAAAATACAAGATTAAAGAGTAAAAGTCAGAGCTGATCCCTTGTTGGTGTTAGACTAACCTTGGGAAATAGTGAGGAAACAAAATTAAGTTATTGGCCTGTGATTTATAGAAGGATGAGCATAACATTTTTGTCTAGAGAGCATTTTTTAAGTCAATCGACACAGAAAAATCTTTTGGCAAAAAACAAAAGTAATTCCACAGATGCAGAAATTTGTCTAATTTGTATTTTATTGCATTATGAAAATAATACATTTTTGGCAAAGTAAGCTGGGCTCCAAGTTCAAATAATAAGAAAATCCTGAAGGAAGTTTATTATTGGTTCACTATATTTAAATATATTCTCATCAATACACTATCATTCTTATTAGACTATTAATGCATTAAACTTAGTCTTGAACCACTTTCCCATATAAAATTATAATTATTTAATGTCACTGCATTTATCCATTTTATGATTGCCACATATGTCACAAATAAGCTGAACATCCCTTTTGCCATGTACTTATGAAACTGTTCAGGGAACCATAATTTTAAAGCCTCCCATAATTTAGTTCCTTTGGTTATACAAGTTGTAAATTTATCCCCTCTGCAATTTTTTCATAAATACCATTTTAGCAGCTTTCTGAAGAATTACTTCACACCAGCACCTTTACATGAAAACTAGTTTATACTATATTATTTGAAAGTTAGTCTCTGACTTTAGGTTAAAATGCATAAATGCATGCCTATCTACATTGGCAAAATAAAGCACTCTTAATGAACACAATGCTTTTATAAAGCCAGTGCTTACATGGCCCAGTGTTTGAGGGGTTCTTTTCAAAGCAGCATAATTACTGCTCCAAATTGCCAACAATAGACTATTATTTTGCCCACTTTCAAAGGTGCAGCCAAAACTTATCCTAACTTGATTTAAACAAACCACTGGGGGGGGGGGGGGGGGTTTGGAGATGATGGGAATCATTGTGTTCTACTATATTAGAACTGTTTTCAGTATTTTCAAAACATATTGTAATCATTTTTAGCAAAAAAAAAAGGAAATTAATGAAAACTAATGTTTACTTATTCTAGCCTAATCAGTACTGATTACTATTTTATATCTAGGCAAACAGCCTGAGTAATTAGAAGCCATTTCCAGGCTAGAAAGGATGAGCAAGAAAATGGCATTTTAAACTCACAAATTCTTGAATCTTGATTTAGATCTTTTGAAATTCTTTTGGCCCACCATGTTAAAGAAAAACTGTTGTCAGAATAAACATTTTGAAATGTCAGAAATGTACCAATTACCAAAACAGGTCTGACATGTTAATTAGAACTGTTATTTTTCTTTCTTAGTTTATCTCCTGAGTGCACCTTTTCAAACTTAAGAATAAACTTCTCATTCCCTGATAGTTACCAACACCTTTACAGCAGCTAAACAAGAAACCTACATCCAAGTTTAACCATGGAAGTATCTATCTCATCCATCCTAATAAAGAAGCATGATATATTCCATAAGTAAACCCAGAGTATTCGTCAGTTAACCTTGTGTAAACAGCAACAAATTTGATCTATGATCAACATTTGAAGGCTAACAATAAACTAAAAATTAAAAAGCATATCTCTCATACAGAGTTAGGATAGCATTTTATACATTCATCATTATTTTACTTTATTTAATAAAGAGATGCATTTACCCTTGCAAAAACAGCAATTGCAAGTTTACAAGTTCACAGACCACAAAACCACGTTGCTAAATTTTAAAACTTAAAATTGACAAAGTAAATTGGTTATAATCATTACATTAACAAATAGTCCATGGCACTACAACTATTAAAATAAAAATATCAAAAGGTCATAGGTGCTTAAAGAATAGGTTTATTGACAATATTTTCACAAAAACCCTAAATGAAATTCCAAAATTTCTAAACTTAAAATGTTTAAAATTTGTTCTCATTGGCAAAATATCCCTTAACAAAAAAGTAAAATTTTACTATCAATGAATGTCATATTTATTAACCTTGCTTCATTTTCAACATTTTGAACATTTATTTTTTATTAAACACATCTGCAGTTAGCAATTTTGAAAAAAAAAAATTTGCAGTGTTTGATTTTCTTTTTTCTGGGAGATAATAATCAATGTGCAGTGTTTTTTTTGTTTGTTTTTTAACTATCAAACATTCTTAAATATATCCTCTGGCTGCTGTGAACCTGACAGACAAGACAGTCAGTAATAAGTACTCTACAAATATAGAAACTGAGCCAAATTATTTCGGTGTTTTTGTAAAGAAAACTTAAACAGACAAAATCCACAACCTGTGTTTTTCCCCAAATCATTCGTAAAGCATATGATATGGTATCAGAAATTGCATCAACTTTTTAATCCCTTTGTGTATTTCAGGCATCTGAAACTAAAAAAGGTATTCTTTTTTTTTGATAAAAATGTACTCGAATATTTTATAACATTAATATTTATTGCTTTATATGAATACTGTATTGAAAGCCCAAGCATTCAGTTTACACACAGAAATTATACAATTATATACCGCTTCACAAAGGCAGTGAACACATTACAATCTACAAAATCTACTTTACAGAAATTTAAAAATTCTAAATATCAAAAAGGTACAGTTGAAGAAACAGGTATAAATTTGGCAGCCAGTAATTTTGACTGGGAAGTTGCAGCTTGCATGACTTTATGGGAATCTGAAAACATTGAGTTGAGCAGTAGTTGTGCTTTGCGCTGATCTGAAAAATATAACACTGGCTGTCGGACTAGCATGTTCAAAAATATTTAATTCACTTCAAAATGTCATACAAATTATGTTGGTTTCTATGCACCCCTAGAACTTTCAATCGTTTAGCTCAGGTACATTACTAAGGTAATATATTAATTCCTCCAGTACAATGGTGTATCATACCAAATCCATTTGCATACTTTTAAATAATTTAGAAAGAAATGTGTAATATTCACAATGTTCATAGAAGCAAGCAAAAGGTGAAGTAACCTGCTCAGTTCTGAGATGTTTTCACATCAGCTTCATAAGCATTCACCCTACAAAATATTAAGCTAATGGTTGAAGACTGTTCTTAACATAAAGCAAATTTTTCTCATAAATAAATGAAGTCCTTTTAGTCAGGCACCTCAGAAGTATACAAAAGGGTTGTAGTTTGAACAGATTTCTTGGAATGTGTTTAACCTGGTATTTCCAACAGTGTTAAAGATTTCCAGGGTTTCATAGGGGCCAGATTTTATTTGAATCATTCAGAAGTGAAAGAAATTGCCTTCTGAAAGAGGTGAATTCAATTATTTCCAATAGAAAAAGTATTCACTGTATTCATCTCTTATAGAAACAGAAAAATAGAACATTTTCCCCCTTAGAATAGTATATATATATTTATACGTATTTATGACTTAAGGTTCCATTGTACATAGTCAAACAATAAAATCTGGAAACCAGCATGAAACCCTATAATTCACATGTTAAAATGTTGAAACTATGACCAAAATATGAAAACTGCTAGAGCTGTCAGAAATAGACAAGACAAAAAGCTTTCCTGCATATGTATAAACTAAATGTGGTAAATCTCCAAAAAGTTTGTCAAAATTATAATTATTACCTTCCAGTTTAAAAACTTTTATTCTAAATTAAAAAAAAAAATCTATACACATACCACTGATTTGACCAGACCAAAAAGTCAGCGGTAAGCAGGACCTGAAGGAGCCGATATTCACAGTTTTTATGTGTAAAACTCTTTCAGGATTTATTCCACGAAGAATCATATTTTACAACCTGCTTCTCTTGTAAAATTGAAGGTCCACTTTGTTACACAAAAGTTTTATACAGTGGAAAATCATGGCCGTATGTAAAACACTGCATCTAAGTGGGTCTCACAGTTAGTCTTGCTCCATAGGTTCTTCTGCAACGTCTGAGGCCTCATCGCTGTTCTCCATCGGGGATTCGGATGGAATTTCTCGAGTTTCACGGGCGTAGGCTCCTAATTCTTCAGTCTCGCTGCAATCAGCACCACTACTTACAGGTCTTGTATTTTCACTATCTTCAGAATGCAAATCTTTGTCTTCCTGAGATAGGACAGATTCCTCCATTTGATGACTCTCCTCAGAAGTCTCTTCACTCACAGTTACGGCCTCATCAGTCTCTTTTTCTAGATCTTTTCTTTCTGGAGTAATTTCTTGTGAGGTCACAAAAGATTCTAAAAATAATCAAAAGTTGCAATAGTTAAGTTTGTATTTTCAAAAAATTTTATCCCTGTTAAAGTTTTATTCATCTATACAGTAGGCCAAGGGGGCAGCTAGGTGGCGCAGTGGAGAGAGCACCGGCCCTGAAGTCAGGAGGACCTGAGTTCAAAACCAGCCTCAGACCAAACACTTGACACTGACTAGGTGTTTGACCCTGGGCAAGTCACTTAACCCCAACTGCCTTCAAAAAAAAAAAAAAAAGCTGCCTGCATACAACAGGCCAAACGATATCCTGAAACTTCACTTATAATCAGAAACACATCTAGCACCAACACTGAAACGATGCTATGTGAATCCCATCACTCTCTTTCTAAATACCTTCCTCCTCCTCCTCCTCCTCCTCTCCCTCCTCCTCCTCCTCCTCCTCCTCCTCTGTACGTCGCTGTCTGGAGGAGCTGCTTCCTCTGTCTTTATCCTGAGATCCAGATGGCGTTCCTGTTTCTTCTACCACAGCTGAAGACATCTCACCAGGGGAACTCTGGTCGGTTGCGTCTCTGTCTTCACCTTCTGTGTCAAATTTGAGTCTTTTGACCTCATGCCCCTCAGCTTCCACCAGGTCTTCATCGACGTGTTTGTTTTTTACAGGACTCACTTGGGTGCCTTCCAATTCAGATGTTGATGAATCGCTGTGTAAATTTTGTAAAAGCCTTATTAAGTGATAAAATATTTGTCATCTCTACCAATTCTTGCATTGAAGGTACAACCTTTTCTGCTATTCTGCTGACAAAGCTAATATATCTGGCAACAGAGGAATCCAGAAAGTCAACATCGGAGTGACAACAGGTCCCACTTTTTTCACCAGCTTCCTCCCATATGCACCTGTGCCATTTACTGTGTGAACCTCCTCTGCCTATTCCTTGACTTTTTAATGCTGGTTTTCTCTTTTGATGTGACAAAAGATAAAGGAAACATGTTCTTCCTTTCTGTTCCTTTGTAGACTGTCAGGAGAAAGTCTGTCCCACATGATTTCAAATCTTATTTGGAAAGATTTTTTTCTTTTCCAAGTATTTTTTTAAATGATAAGTATATTTTAAGTTTTATAAATACATGTAATTCCTCAAAATTTAGCTCTATAGGTCACCATCAGAATATTCATTTGATTCAAACCCCATGTTATACACTACAAAATTTATACAGCCCAGGCCAGACACTCAGCTTAGAGCTGATCTCTCTCCTTGTTAATATCTTACATGTGTGCATTTAGCACTGACAACATTAAACTATATTGGAATCTAGTGGCAGATTAACTTTGGTGAAAATACAGATATTCATACAAACCTGTGGTTTTTCTCCTCAGTTAGTTGTAAATTTGACTCTTTACCTTCTGTGTTCTCAGGCAAACCATTTGTTGTCATAGGAGCTGACAAAGAAACCTTTGGTCGGTTTACTGGTCTGGGAGTTCCAGGACCATTAATGTTAGACCTATAATAGAGCACCATTATTGTTCTGATGAAAATTAACCCTTCCCCAGATAGAGACATATCTAAATTCCCCAAAATGTAATATGCTGAATATTCTGTCTTCTAAGTCTACATGTCAAGAAATAAGTCTTTTCTGTTTGTTATTTGTCCACTCCCATCAGAAGCCTATGTTTGAAAGGACAGGATCTACTTCCCAAAGCAGGGAAATGCCGTGTCTTTTGTCACTAAAACCAACTTACCTGTCAGTGTAATTCGGTGAGTTTCCAGGAAACATAACACCATTCATCCGGTTTAAGCTGTTAGAACTGTTTTTCCTGTGAGAAATGAAAACATTCTACTACATAACAGAATGCTGAAATTTTTTAATTTTGGTAATGAAAACTATGCCTTCTAAATGAAGTAGAGGGTTTTTGTGTGAGTCAACATTTGGTTTTAATATAACCAGAAAAAATGTTTTCATATTTCTCCCAAATGTAATGACATGACCTTAAAATGTATGTGCACATACAAACGGTCAAGCTTAAAGGAAAGCCTTGACTAAGAGAAATGATAAGGAAACCACATACTTCATAAAATAAACCCTGTCTTAGTAACCCTAAAGTTGAATATTTTTTTCATATCTTTCTCAAATTTCCTTTTCTCCCCCTTTCATATATTGTCTAATTACCCATGACAAACTCTAATCTAAAAAAAAAATCAAACCAGCAAATCTGAGTTACCAGAAAACTGAGCTAACTTGAATGCTCCATCTTGGGACTTAATCTTATGGTACTAGTATAATTCCGTTCTAATATTTAAGTTTTGGAGTTAAATTATCAATGTCATCATATAATGGACTTCTTTTTTATGCCCTTAACAATGGGCAAAAAAAATATTTTTATTGCCTTTCTTTGAATTATTCTTGTTGGGGTTTTTTGTCTTTTTTGTCAATAAGTACAGAAGATTACAGGAGCATTTCACTTTAAAACTGTTAAGTTCCAGAAATAAATTTGTAAAGTGAAATAAATCTAAAATCAATTCCATAAATTTTGATCCTAAGGTGGACTACTTCATACCAAATCTTAAAAGTCTAGCAATACTTCAGTCATAAAGCAGAGAGCTAAGTTATAAGTTGTTCATTACCCAAACTCTAATAATCATCCATCCATCCCCTGGGACAGGAGGGTTCTTTAGGTCAACTTGTTCTTTAAATATTTTGATTACTGATTTTGATTTTAAATATTTTCATAACTACATTTCAATATATTAAGCTTCCTTTGTAATCTTATGTTTTACGTTATATATTTAAAAACGAGATCTACAACACACAAAAAAGATAAAGATCCTTTGCCTTAAGGGTATCCTAGAATGGAGTTGCCTAGGTTTAGGGTGGGCTAATTCTCCCTGAGTTTCACAAGTAGTATTCATCTATCAAACCTTAAATAAATCAACCACAGAGGCTCTGTCCTTTAAGATGGACCAAAAAAAAACATTATTCTGCCTGCATTAGGCATGTCTGCCAAACAAAAGGCAAATGTCTTATCTGTGAGACACCAGCAAACAGCCAATACGTAGAACAAGTGAAATATTGATCTCCCTGCCTCTCAGAACTCTTGGTTCAGAAACCAAGAAATCCTCCCTATACTGAACAAATCCTAAACTGCATCTTCTTCAGTTCCTAAAGTAGAATCTTTGTAAAGTAGATGTTCATAGAGTAGGGGTCATACGTACTTCTACTGTAAAATAAGAGTTGGTTCAAGGAACACAAGCAGTTTAGGAACATGAAAATAAAAAGGTTAGAAAATACATGCTAGATCAGATTTTGCTATTATATTATATATATATTCATAAGTCTGAGATTTTAATATACGTTTAACCCACTGGTACTGAAAATACAATTCCAGTAATGTCTACCTTTCTGATGGAAAACATCACAAAAACAGATCAAAATCACCCAAATTAATGAGACTATGGTGAAGACGCAGAAATGGGAGCATACATTCCACAATTCTAAAAAGAAAGAGTATTTTTAAAGCTATTGCAAGAATTTTTATACTTACTCTGAAGATGGATATACACAGCTAACAACCATCACATTCTGCAATAAGAAAAATTGGTAATTTAGTACTAGAATAAGACCACATGATGTTGTTTACTAATTCTTATTGTCACAACCATCCTGAGGTAAGGTTTTTATTCCTGCTATTTACTAATGAAGAAAATAAGGTGGTATATGAAGATATTAATCAAAATCCCAAAGTCAGGGCCAAAAATCAAGCTTTTCCCCAACCATAACAATTAATTACTATAATTTGTTTCTTGGAAACAAAACCCATCAAATTTTCTTACCCTAAATATTGCCAATTTCTAGTAAAGTTCTATTTCAATGTTCCATCATGGTGTGAAAGTGACTCTAGGTTTTCAAAGACTATGCAGTAGAATCTCTGGCAGCTCCTACATCAACCTAGAAAGGCATTGATGGAAGGAGTATTCTCAGCAGTAAATCACGGATCTTTTAATGTAATGAATACTCTGGAAGTCTAACACTGGTGGGCAAAAATGCTGGCAAGGAAGTCCCAGAGTGGAGGTTAGGCACTGACAATAAATCTCCCTGGCAGAGCAAGAAAACTGATAGCACTGCTGAGTAGAATCCCCCTCAGACTGGGACCTGGAAAGCCATGGAGAAAGAGATGGGATACGGGGATGGTGAGCAGGAGGGAACTGGCCATGACAGAAGAAACTAACATGGAACCCTATAAAACATCAAAGCTTCAAATCCCTGTTATTTTAGAGGTTCATAACGGGACTAAATTGAATTCAATTTTAATCAGAATTTTAATATTAATTCTGAATATATTTGATAATCTATTCCCAAAGTTAATACAAACAAGGATTGACATGTTATTACTAGATATAACTGATAAATAAAAATAAAAGGATACTTTTAACAAACTCCTAACAAAACAGTTACACCAAATCTCTCTCGAGATCCTTAGGTCAATCTTATTTTTCTATATATGTGTATATGTATATGTATGTGTGTGTATGTATATATATATATATATAAAAAATCCAATTCAATTAGTTAAAAAATACCTTTTCTACTCCTCTGAGAAATTTGTCTGTTCCTGTATAGTTCCTCCTTGGATCTGTTAGCAATTCACAAAGTCGCTGAATAGTAAAAGGAATACTGTAATAGAATACAATTTTATAATTAAGAATTTGTGTTATTAATGTATGACAGAACTGTGAGCATTAAGTTATGGACTAAGTTTTCACTGCGAGTATGTCCTAGAGTAATTTAACATAGTTGTGGCTTTTAGTGATGGTATTAAAAAATGTTACTTGTCCTTTAATTACTTCAAAAAGCAAACTACTCACCCATCCCATCTTTCTTACCTAAAAGGAAGTATTACTTAAATTACAGCACAAAAATAAAAAATATTCTAACTTAAAAATAATTCCAAAACACAAGGGTAAAATGAAGAATTATTTGAAATATGTGTTCCTATACCTACCTCGGGGGGTTGTTGTGAGGATCAAATGAGATAATATATGCAATTTAGCACAGAGTGGACATTTAATAAATGCTTATTCCGTTCTCTTCTTGCCTTGTAGATCAAGGTACCTAGCTTTAAGTTTTATATTTTCAAGTTTTAAACAAGAATTTTTTAAATTATCAAAAGTAGTCATAGTCATTTCATTCTATAAATTCAACTCTTTAATCCTTTACCTTAGCAAGAGCTCTTCTATAACAGTCTCAAGAAAACTGTGATTTTTCTGCAGGACAGGCTTTAAAGATGAATTACTCTTGACTGCAAAGAGTGCACAACATATAATTCTACCCTTATAATTTCAAATGGAATTATTTCTTCATACCTAAAATACGTTTTAATGGCATAATTATGGGCATATACCCCCAAAATGGAAAAGAATCTATTTGTGTACCCAAATTAGCAAATACATTTCAATATTATTTGTAAGAGGATTATTACACAAAAACACCTAAGTCCTACACCAAAGACAAGATTATCAGTAAAGTACTGCTCTAACACCTCACCATGACAGGGTGACACTTCAGGCTTCCCAGGAACTATCCCCAGAAAGCACAAGGTTTGGCAAGTCTTACACCTAGCTGGAAAAAAACGGGCTTCCTAACAGTATTGGTTATTCTTAAAAGACCAACCTAGCTAAAAGTAAGAAAAGTTCATCATCAGAAAGATGGCCAATAGGAGAGGAATTCTGGGGGCAATAGCAATTCATGAACATCATCTATTAGGCATAAAATGATGGCACTCGGCACCAATGGAGGAAATACCTACATTCATGAAAAAAAAAAGCATTGATCCATGAACTTACTAGAAATATAGTTATACATAGTTTTATTTCAACAAAGAAACAAAAGAATTCCCAGCATGAGTCCCCTATCACACTGAATTTCAGTTCAGATACTAAGATCTGTAACATGACAACATATTTAAATATATTTTGTCTAGGTACATAGATAAAAATCATAATAGTTATAAAGCCTTGTCCTTTGAAAGTATCTGCTACACAAATTTCTACAGTTTAACAGTACATTCTCTTATAATCATTACAATATAATGAACAGAATTTAAATTTGAATTAAGACAATCAACTGAAATTATGTATCAACATCAAGACACAAATACTCATCCATACAAAATGAGGAGGTGGTTTTAAATTAACAAAGCATATTAAACACATTTTTAAAACATAATATTTACATTAATTATTCTCTAAAGGAAATCATTGAATGTGTACTCAACTTTTAAAAAACATAAGCACTACTAGCAATACCTGACACCTAAATTAATCAGTTATTATAACATATTTTTGAAAGGTTACGTTAAGCAAAAGTTATTCATCAAAAATTAAAGCACTATGGTATACAGACACGTAAATGATGCCAAGAAATTCCAAATTCCTAATTTTCCAAATTAGCATATGCTCTGAACTCAATACAAATAAAAATATAGCTGTAGTTCAAAAGTTGAGGCATATACTAATTAAGTTGACAATTACCCTTTTAAAATGTGTTCCCCAAATACATTAGCCTAAATAATAGGCATAACAAAGAGATTCACTTTTTTGATGGACAAGGTAATCCTTTATTTTCTCTATTTTGTAGAAACTGAAGTAAACTTACACAATAGAAGGAAGGAATGGTTAACAGACTAGACAGATATCACTACAACATTTTCTCTCAAAGCAACATTATATGAACCAAAAGACGAAGAACTGTTACGTTATAATTACCACAAACTGTTTTCCTATTAAAACATTAAAAGAGGAAATGTTACTAACAGTTGTTCTTTAAGTCCTCAAGTTGTCTATTTTTCTGCGTTTCAAAAGCACTCAACAGCACTTTAGCTTCTGCCCAGGAGATGGCAGTATGTCATGTTTTTCCTCTCCCATTTCTTTGACCCAAGGCCAAAAAATTTCAAAGAAAAAGTTCTTCTACCTTTGGGAAGGATGCCTTTAATAAACTGACTTTGACAACAGAATTTAAGACACAAAAGTAACTGTGAAATTATGATATATATTGATACCCAGAAATTTATTTCTGCAAATCAGTGAGCTAGTTAGTGATAATCTTGTATGATCAATCCAAATAACACCAAATTTGGTTTAATTATGGAAAAGGCTGATCCACTAAACTCCATTTAAGATAGCTGGCAAAATGCCCTACCCTAACAAAAACATTAGATACATCTCTATTAAAAGTTAAGAATAGACTTGCTCAATAATATCAAAGACGGTTAACAGAATAGTTAGAAAGAAAAAAGTGTATCAAGTACCTATTTATGCTTAAAGAGGATAATCCTAAACACTGGAGAGATACAAAGTATTTTGCATAAGAAATAACAGCAGCCCCCCCAACAAAATTAAAATGGAAACATGTATTAATTCTATTTAAGATTTTTTTAAATGAGGAGAGGGGTACAGTTTCAAAGAAAACTATAAAGAGAAATATTCATTGATGTCCATTTTTAGAAAACGAATCTGATACTTAAATCACATCAGAGAAAGCAGGTGAAGTGCAAAAAGTATAAATATAGCCAAAGTAGTAAATAGAAATCATAGGGTTTATCCTAGCCTTTATGCACAAAATAGGACACTAGTTCATCAACAATTTTAAACAGAATAATTTAAATTTAAAATACTAATTTTGCAGACAAAAGAATATATAGTTCTTGTTCAACCCTTTATCTGCCACTCCCCTTGGCCAAAAATAAATAAATAAATAAATTTTTGAGAATGTGATGTGCCCTAATAAATTCGGTTACTTAAATTTTTCCAGGAATATCTGGTTCATGTATGAAAAAAATTTCTTGGAATATTTGAGAAATTTTAAAATAAACGTTAAGGTCCTATAAAAACCCCAAAGTAACTGATTCAAAAATTATAGCTAAATTTAAATCACATTAAACAATAAAGACCACAGTAAATTACAGAAAAATAAACCCTCCCAAACTCAACCCTAGAAAAACTCATTTGACAAAAGGTCTCCAATGTATTATAATACAGAAAAATACGTAATAGTAAAGTTCAAGATACTAGAAACCGAATTAAACTATAAAATAGTAGTGCAGTCAAAAAATAAAAGTGAAAAGAGGGGACCAGCTAGGTGGCACAGTTGATAGAGCACCGGCCCTAAAGTCAGGAGAACCTGAGTTCAAATCCGACCTCAGACCAAAAACTTGTCACTAATTAGCTGTGTGACCCTGGGCAAGTCACCTAACCCCAACTGCCCCCCCCCAAAAAAAGTGAAAAGAAAACAGATGCTAAGAGTTACATGAAGCCAGTCTCTAGCTCTAACAATAAAATTTCACAAAAAGAAAAAAAAAAACCTCCAATGCATCAACCAATGTTCTTATGTTTTAAAATTGCAGAAGAAATAGTTTCATTGAAAGATATGTCAGTTAAGTTTCAAATCCTAAGGATTCTTAATATGTATTACATTCAGGTCGAAAGGACCGAAGAAAAAAGCAGAAATATAATCTCTTTGATACAGTTAAAACTTTGAACTGACTTACCACTGGGGAATCCATGACTGCTTAAAAAACTACCTTATAGGCAAGTTTAGCAACAGAAATCTCTTAATACTCAATATGTAACTACTATACTCAAACTAAAAAATTAAGAACACAAAGAATTACCATGTAGGCTATTTAGTCCCTATTACCTTTACAAAAGGTAAAAATGAAAATGAGAAATGATTTTGAAGAACCTTGGCTTAGGTGATAGGAGGGTGAGTCAGGAAGCCCTGAATTCAGGTCCTGCATCTGACACACTAGGACACAGAAAAATCATTTAACTTTTCATTGCCCCCAAGCTTTCATAGGCCTCAAAGTTATAGTAGAACTGCTAATACACTGGAAATTCCCTAAGCAGATAAATGAAAACACATTTCTGGGCAAAGCTCCCTACAACAGAATAAAGTAAGCACTATTGTCTACGTAAGGAAACTTGTCCCTTTCTTCTATATGAGAGGCCGGCTGCAGCTCCTTCATCAGGGCCATTAACTCTGGTTAGCGATGAAAAAAGCAAAGCAACCTCTGGACTAAATGGGAACTCATTCCGCTCACTTTGAGTCATTAACACAAAGCTCTTAAAAACTGGATGTCTGTCTCCTAATGCTTTTTTTTTTTTAACCATTGCCTGGTTTTGAGGCACTGTTTAGCAAAAGTAAGGAGCCATTTAAACTTGCTCCCTCCCTAAGATCTTGGTTTGTTTCAGATTGACCCTGAAGAAATGCTTGTGTGAGTATCACTGCAAATAGAGGTGTCTAACTACAGGGCCTAATATGGATTTTTAATTCCACTAAGTGAGAAGAGATGTAACTTTTCTTTTTATGCCCCCAAAATGTTTAAATTAAAATAAAATCAGCCCTGTAATTGACTCAGAAAGGCATAAGGCAATGGGATATTTTGGAAAATACAAAAGGAATGAAGTTCCTCTAATAATCTCAATGAATCCCAAATTACTGACAGTGACTAGCAACTGTATCCTGAAAAGCAAAAATAAAACCCCTATGACATCTCTCAAAGCTTTTCAAGTTAAGGCACTCTTAGGGCCTTCTACAAAGCCTAATTTCTTCTTAATTTACTGGGTAAAGAAAAACTACATTAGCTTACTGCTCATTCCTCTTCGTCTTTCCATTTCAAAAATACTAGAAGTAGAGCAAAACCACCTGCCACAATAAACCACACTAACCAACTAATTAACTTTTCCTGGAGGACTTTATAAAAATCAAATAAAATTAATTCTCACTTATCTATGCTAAAGGGAAAAAAGCGGAGTATAAATAAATGGAATGTAAAGCAAACATTTTAGTTACTACTTAGAATGGCTTCACTGTAAAAGCAATTGAAGAGAAAAATAAACTGAATACAATTTCTACTCCTCTAGCTTCACCTCCTACCCAATGACTAGGAAGAAGGGGTAAAGGGAGAGGAGGAAATAAGAAAGATCCTGAAACAGTTCCTGGACAGGCTACAGAGAAATCAGGATAAAGAAAGATCATTTTCCACATACAGTCAAATTTTCCTCTTTCATACTAGCTAATGGTATACTAGCTAATAATATAATAATAAATACTAGCTAATAATGGTATTTTCCTTAATAGTACAAAAATCAAATGTTTTTGTGCATGCTCCAAGATAATCAGAATTCCTATTCTCAAATACGCTTCCTATAAATATTGTATATTCCCTTCACATTTTATTCAATAAATATTTACTGAGCACCTATAATGTACGAAGCATTTAGCTAGGTACTACAAGTAGTCAGGTACCTACATGTCTTACTGGCAAAGACAAATGCCAAATCAACTGGTTACTACCATATAATCAGGGTTCTTAAATCCCTACAGGAAAAGAATTGGGAAGGACCTTGGAGATTATCTAGTCCAATTCCATCATTTAACAGATGAAGAGACTGAGGCCAAGGGAGGATAAGCAACTTGCCCAAAGTCACCTGAGCAAAGTGGCAAAGTCAATATTCAAACCCAGGATCTCTGACTCCAAATCAAGCACCACACCACACATACTGATTCTTGAGTTGTGTAATTGCTTTATAGTTTTAAAATAAAACTATAGTAGAACAGGATAAGGTACAGATTAACAGCTCTTTAGGGATGAACAGATGACATAAATACTATTGTTTCCCATAAAAACATGTGGAGATGCTACATTATGACTGACTCGGATACACTGCAAACAAGTTTATTCTAATATCTAAAAAGAAGTCAGTCTCCTTAATAAGCAAATCAGAGTTAAGAATTGATTTAAATTGAGGAAATGTCTTTTTTTTTTAAAACTTCTGTCAATATGGTCTGCATCCGAGCCATTCAGGAAGCCCCTTGCCGTTTCTATTTATCCAACAAGTATTATGAGTTACTAGCATATGCCAAATAAAGAACAAGTCTAGGGGCCACAAGTAAATGATTATAAAACTCCCTCGATGTCCAGGGTTTCTTAAACTTGGGGTCCACAGATTCAGGGACTCTGTGCACTTGGATGGGGGTAGGGGGAATGGCATCTTTATTTCAATGTAAGTGATTTCCTTGGTAACTACTCAAGAGAAGGGGACTCCACAGGCTTCCCCTTGCTATATGGTCTGGTTTTTTGGGGTTTGTTTATTTTTTAACTTAATGATCTTAAAAAAGAGGACAGGAAAGAGAAAACAGAGGAGAACAACTAAGAAACAGGGAGAGGGAGAAGGAAAAGGGGAGGGAGGATATATTGGGGGAAGAGCCTTTAAAAAATTATCTTACCAAATTTTAAGAAATATTATCACTGTTGCCTAACTGCTTTTAATTTGGAGTTCTGGTGCTTCTACTTGACAGGTAACACAACGATGAGCACAAAGTAAAACAATTCATTTAAAGAACTGACAAATCTTTATTATATCCTAATACTCTACTCTGGTCTTATCTGCTTACTTCTTTCATTAAGGATAGCAACCAGGGCAGCTAGGTATTGAAGTGGATAGAGCACTGGCCCTGGAGTCAGGAGAACCTGAGTTCAAATCCAGCCTCGGACACACATAAAACTTACTAGCTGTGTGACTCTGGGCAAGTCACTTAACCCCAATTGCCTCACTCACACAACACACACACACACACACACACACACACAAAAAGAATACCAACTATTAGTTTCTGGAGTATGGATAACACTGTCACTTATTTATCAAAATATTAAAGGTGTCAATCAATTAATTTTAAAACAAGAAACAAAAGTCAAACTTTAGGTTAAAAAAAAGTATTATTCTTCAACACAAATTCACTTATATGTGCAAACAAATAAAAAATATACATCTACACAAAAAAAAGTACACATCTCATTTCCAAAGGGAGGGGAAACACTTTTTTAAAAAAATACACAGAAAATGGGGCAGCTAGGTGGCGAAGTGGATAGAGCACCAGCCCTGGAGTCGGGAGGACCTGAGTTCAAATGTGACCTCAGACACATAATACTTCCTAACTGTGTGACTAAAAAAAAAAAAAACAATGTTAAAAAATTAATGTTTGAAGAGTACTGCAAAAACACAAGACTCACAAAAATAAATCTCAAGGTGTAAGGTAACTAAACCACAGGGATAAATTTGATTACAATAATGCATTAGATAAAAAACTGAAAAAATTAAATCCTTGACAAAAACCTTACTTAACGTATCAAAGATAAAGACTTTGATTATACCTAGCTAAATAAGAACAGGAAAAAATGTTACATGGTTCATAACTCTGAAATCAAATAAAAAGTGGCTATACAGAAGTCCAAAATATTTCAGAGCCTAGTTATATATGTCATTATTTTAATTAAAAGATAAACTCAGAAATTCAAAAGGTAAATATTCCTTTTTCCTTCATTATATCCCAGAATTTAACTAAATCCATAAATATTTCACTGCTTCATGAATGTTAGTCTAATTTCATAGCATATGCACTGTGTACATGTATCTTCCAGACCTGATCACTTTGAAATATGCAAAAAGCAGACTTGCAACAGCATATAGCTTCATAGTATTTAACAATAAAGTGAAAAATGAAATTTAAAACATTTCATCTTATCTCAGTTTTTAAAAATCATAGTGATACAGTTTGGTGAACTTAAAAGTTGAAATGCTATGAAATATAAATGCTCACATTTTTTACATAGGCAGCTATTTCAGCAGGAGAAGTTCATCTTTTTTTTTTTTAAGTGAGGCAACTGGGGTTAAGTGACTTGCCCAGAGTCACACAGCGAGTGACATTTTTATGTGTCTGAGGCCAAATTTGAACTCAGGTCCTCCTGACTCCAGAGCCAGTGCTCCATCCTCTGCGCCACCTAGCTGCCCCAGAAGTTCATCTTCAGAGTTTTAGTTGGTTTCTACTTTTGAAGGTGATATTAAAATACTTTATATTTTTCTAGTGTAAGAATTCCAGTTTAAAATTCAAGTAAGTATCCTTACTTCTAAAAGGGTTCATGTAAATAAAGGTTTTTATAATAGACTTACAATAAATTATAAGTTTTCATTCTTTTTAGAGATACAGTTTCAAGATAGGAATGACAAGACATCAAACAGAAAATTTAACTAATAACATAGACTTCAGTGAAGATCAGTGTTGTAGTCAAAGTTTCAACATTGTTTATTACCTAAAAACATTACAGATATTTAGGCTCCATCAACTGTCCTCACAGATAAAACCCTTTTCAATAACTACCCCAAGATTTGAATATAACAGTTCTATAACTCATCATAACTGATATTTTAAAGACATAAGGAACTACCTGTTTGTTAGTGGTTAATCTAATTCTGTACAATTCAAATTCCTAAATAGTTTTACTATTTTACAAATCCTTTTAAATTATTATAGGAAATTATTTAAAATTTCAATCAAATAAGAGAGAAGACATCCATTTTTTAAAAATCAGCTTTATTTTAACAAAATATAATTTCACTGAAACTTCTCACAAAGAAGCAAATAATATATGTAATGTGCTTTTAAAAAATGAAATTAAAATCTGTCACCTTCCAGAAAAGTTACTCTGGACAATTTTTAAACACAACAAAATTTATAATATTAACTTTGCTGTAAGAAACTTCTGCAATTTACAAATATGTAACATTATTAGTAAGCTACAAGTTCTATACAAACTATAAAAACATTAGTTATAGTACCATATAAGAATAAAATCCTGTAAGTTAAATACAACTTAAATCCTTCTATTTATGCTGATGTTTCATGAACACATTTTGTAAAATCTAACTTCATAAAAAAGGTCATTATGCATTTTGAGTAGAAAAATAAGGTAACTGCAAATATTTTAAAATTAAACTGTACATTAGCCAAAGGATAAGACCCAAAAAGATGTCATCAACATTTGTTTTTAAATCAAAATCATACATTTTGATGTTCATATCAGGTCGCTCATGTGAAGTTGCTCCAAGGAGCAAAATCTAGAATTCTAAATGGCAAGTATAATAAAAAAAAAAAAAGACATAGCAAAACTTAATGAAACAGTTAACATTTTATTATGAATTCAATGTTTAAAATAGTAAAAATGCATACCCATTGAATCCAGTGACAATTTTCAGAATTCTTTCCTTCATTTCATCAAAGGGAATATATTCAACATTAGGGTTAGGAGGACCTCTTGGTTCAGGGGCTGACGTTCTGAAATCATCCATTACTTTCTCCAATTTGAAAATAAAATAGCCTTTAAATTGGGACCACTGAATCCTACAAGTTTAAATTTAAAAAAAAGAGACCAGTTAAAATACAGTATTTTTATAATTCTTTTACTATGGATAAAACTGCATGTTGCCAGTGATTCAACACAAATGTTGACAAAATAACAAGGAGGAAATGATAAAGATGTCTTCAATAAACAAGTAAAATGTAGCAATCCAGCCCAAACCAATTTGGCCAGACTGAACTATAGCCTCTAGGCTCCCTCCCAACTCTGATATTCTGAAACTCTGACTCAGTCAGATCAAATAAGATTCATACTGATCTAAATAATTTTTAATCCTTGTAACCTCACCAATACATTAGCAGTACTAAGCAGTCACAAAATTAACTAATTCAAAATATTAAATTTAGTTAATGTGTGGTAGAGAATTAAGGTAAATTTTATAATCCATAAATTAACCCACAGGGCCTAATTCATCACTAAAACAAGCATGTTTTGTTTTATTCAACAAATATTTCTGAAAATACATGCATAAAACAAATTTTGGCAAACTCCATAAACTATGGTGTCACTTACTTGCTGTCTTTACTACCCATGTAGTCTTACCTTATTTAACACATTTTTACTTAAAAAAAAAAATGAATAAAAGGAGTGTATCATGTAATATAAAACCTGAAAATGTACTGAATGCTCATCTACACTGAACTCACCCAGTCTCCACTCAGCAACCTCACCCTATCATGTCTCTCCTAATTCTGTACCACCCTCCCAATACTTGTCCCTCCCTCAACAACCCCCGGCCTCCAAATGTAACACTGACACCGCTTCCTAATCGTGTGAAGGGAGACATCAAAGAACTCTCTGATGGTCCTCTCCTTGAACCAAAGATAGAATGATTAATAAAATGAAATGTGCATAATAGATGTTTAAAAAAAAAAACTTTTTGTTTAAACAATTTTACTAAGCATCTGGAGGAAGGAAATAGAAACAAGATAGTTTGAGATTAAGCCTCTATTTAGAATGACTTAATATAAACGAAATCTTTCAGTCGCTTTCCAATCCATTACTCTACCCTTTTCTCACAAAACAGTCACAGTGGCATCAAATATTCAATCTGCTTCTGTGTGACCTTGGGCCAAGTCACTTGACCTCCCTCAGTTTCATCATCTGTAAAAGGAAGGGATTGGCCTGGATGACCAATAAGGTCCTTTCCAAATCTAAAGTTATGACCTAAGGGCCCTTCCAGCTCTAAACACTTGTGATGCTATATAGATGTAATGCTGAAGGAAGAAATTTTGAGACCTATATTTCAATTAATTCTACTACTCTCACACTGTATAAATCCTAAGAAGTCACTTTCTCTGTAGTAAATAGGATGAAAATCAACCAGCTGCTCCAAAATTTTTTCCTTATCCTATTCTGAGGTCGAAAGGGGAAAAAAAAAAAAAAAAAAAAGTAATATAATGAAGTAGAAAGAGCACTGGATTTGGAGACCAAGGACGTGGATACAAAGTCCAGTTCTACATTACTCTATATGTGCCCTTTTGGCAAGTCATCAACCTCTCTGAGCCTAAACTGTCTTGTGCTTAAAATGAGGGGTTTAGACAAGAGTATCTCTAACATTCCTTGCAACTCTTAAGTCGATGACACTATGAATTTCTGTGAGTAAATACTAAACATTTCTTTTCAATTGATTACAGATCCTTAATTTTAAGCAAACTTTGAATATGTCAAACTTTAAAAAACCTTTTAAAAAATAGGAATCTTGTTGTAAATCTCTTGTAAATGGCAGAAATCTTTTATAATATGAATAGTTTGATCTGTTCTATAAATTAGGATTTTTGTGTACAGATTTTTTTTTCATTATAAAACTATCAACCTCTGCATTAAATTATAGTTTCCTCTTTCTAAAAAGTACCAGAAAGAAATATTTAGCTAACTCTAAATATCTATTCAGACCTTTTATATGAAGATCTTCCTTAGGGAAACTTAACACTTGGTATTCTCACCAAGCATTAAGTAACCCATGACAAAGAGGGCATTTAAAACTAAAGCTTTTATGTGATAAATTCAATAAAAGAACATGACTTTATGGTACCATTTATGTATATGTGTATATACACATATACATATATCCATCACACACACAGACACACACACTTACATACATAACGGACATAGAGGCAGTATGAAGTCAAGATCTAGAACATACAAGTGATGGGGGCAAGTAATTTAATCTCTCAGCACCGTAAGGAAACTTCAAAGATCTGCATTGGTGAAGGGAATATCCACACCTCAAGATCCCTGGCCTGAGGAGTTCCAAGGTCCAGGCCTTCCCCTTTCCTCTCTACTCCCAACTCCAAAGTATAATTAATTAGCTCACTGGACTGGAAAAGGTACCAAAGGTTGGTCTGGAATCCCAACTCTCTCACTTGGCCTTCAGAGACTCCATTTCCTTATTCTACTTGGTGTTTCCTACACATTCCACTGGGGACTTTGATAACCCCAGAGCTAGAATAATCTCCCTCCTCAACTCTTAAGAACTGCTATCATCTCTTGCTTCCTGATTTCCCCAGCAGTTAGTACATCTCCTTCCAAAAATCTGTTAGTCATTCTGCATTTATTTTATGTTTATTTGTGAATATGATGCATCTCCTCATTAAAATGTAAGCTTCTTGAGGGAAGGATCTTTCTGGTTTATTTCTAGCCTCAGCACTTAGTAGTGCCAGGGGAAAAAAGGCTCTTAAAAAAACTCTTATTGATTTATTTGCTACAAGAGATAGCATTTATACTACAACCTACCTAAAGAGTTGACAGAATCAAAAGAAATACTGCATGAAAACTTACTTCATGATCATAAAGCACTACATAAATGTCAGCAATGATAATTATGATCCAGTATCTTCTTTACAGCACTGAACTTTAAATTTGAGAATCTATAAAATTTAAATTACTATAAATAATTGCTGGTAATTTTCCCCAACTAGTAGTTTTTTCTCCCCTTAGTAGTTCCCCTTTTTGTATCCTCGACTCCTTAACCATACTGGCATGCTGCACCTAAGTTTCCTCTGGCAGGACACTCCTGTGGCTTTCAACATGTAAAAGGCAGAATGCCCTAATGTGCACTCTGACTCTCATGAAGGAAAATTTTCTGCCCAAAGCTTCAATTCCTTTAAAAGTCAACTGAGACAGTTAGTTACTCATCTCTGTCTATCTCAAAAAGAAGGTTAGACTCGTTGCCTTCCAATGTCCAGAGCAACAGAAAACTATCCTGTCCACTTTTCCTAAGGGAAAAGTATACTATTTATTTCCTAAAAGGTTGCATAATCTATACTGATGGCCACTAACAGACCTTTGTACTAACATTTATGCCCCCTACTTTACACTCCTGACATTTTCATATGTTTTTATTGCTTAACAAGTCTTTATGTCTATGTGCATCAATTATCTTTTCACTTGGTAAATGTTTACCTATGCCTCTTCCTCATTTACTTGCACTCCATGCCTGGATTTATGAAGTAAAGAAAGAAAAATCACAGGGTTCTAAAGTGGAGTACCATTTCCATAAATCCCTAAATCTACTACTCTCTATTCTTGTTATGGATATTATGAAGCTGGAAGAACAAACCAAAATCAAGCAAAGCTGCAGTAGTGATGCTTACATCTGATATTTAAAATTAGAAGAAATATAGGCAACGATGCCTGACCTCATTATTTGCTTGAAGTAAGAAAAACAATATGTCGTCTATTCTCAACTTGAACAAAGTTGTGTATAAGCAGAGAGCAGGAAAAGTGTACAGAACAGCAAGTGAGTGACAAGAAGATTTAAATTCAATAAATGTTTATTAATCATCTACTATACGCCAGAAACCATGCTGGGTGTTGGGATACAAAAGTCTTTTACCTCAAGGTGTTTACATTCTACTGGGGCAACAGAGATAACATGCACAAGGGTAAATAAATACAAGGTAATTTAAGTGAGAGAGAACATCAACAACCGAAGACTTAGAGGCTTCATGGCAATGGAGTCCCTAAAACTGAAACTGGAAGGAAGATTTAAAACTTTAAAAGGCTGGGAGAAGGTCCTTCGAAGCCTGAGGCTGTGTAGAAGCAGGAAGTGGAGTGCTGAGTACTAGGCACAGCACGTATCAGCAGTAACATATTGTATATGATAGGAAGTAATATAATGTTAAGGCTAGAAAGGCTGGTGGGGGAAGAGAGCTGTGCTCAGAAGGCCTAGCAATCTCAATGACTCCAGTGTTACAGAAGACAACAAGGTGGAGGCTGCACTGAAGGAAAACCTTCAGAAAGAGGGAGGTATGAGTCCCACTATAGCTTCTGCTCTGGTCAGACACCTAGAATTCTGTGTTTTGTTCTGTACACTATGGACTATCTGTGCCCAACCTGTTGTAGAGCCTTCCAAGCTCACACTGACCTGATTAGTCACAGTCAGACACACTGTACGGTAACCCTGACGTGTGAGGGCATTCTGATCCTCTCTAAACACAAAGCACAGCAACGATTTACAACAAAGGAAATGATAAACAGCAGGATGTCCAGAATAGCCAAAGGTCTAAAGTCAGTATCACATGAGGATTAGCTGAAAACTTGAAGGGAAGTCTAAGAAGAAACTAAGTAGATACCTTCAAGAAATCTAAATGGCTATGATATGGAAAGGGGATTTTTTATACTTATTCTATTTGTCCTCCCCAAGCAAAACCAGGAGTAAAGGGCAGAAACTGCAAAGAAGCCTAAGAGAATCAGAGCTGTACAAAAGCAAAATGCGATATAACAGAAGGTAGTGGGGCAGAAGCTGGATGACCACTTAAAGGTGAGGATTCTTTCTGGGTATGGATTAAACTAATGGCTGCTGAGGCCCCTGTCCAACTCTAAAAAGTCTGATTCTGAATTTTTCTTTTATCTTAAAGATAATAATAATCCATTGGCTTACAAGACTCTTGAGGGCAAGAAAGAAGGAAGAGAAACATTCTTTGGTTTATTTTTGCATCCCAGCACTGAGCACAGTCCCTGGCACATAAAAGGCCCT